GAGGAGGAGGAGGAGGAGGAGGAGGGGGAGGAGGAAGGAATGCAGGAGTGCTGAGACCCTGCAATCCTTCATACCGACCCACTGTGGCATTATGGGAGGTGGAAGGAAGGAAGGAAAGGAGGGAGGGTTTCATAAAAGGAGGGAGTGAGGTCATTGAATTTCTGAGTTCATCATCGCCATTTATCAAAAGTGTTCGCACATGAACATGTACTCAGGTGTTGTGTCATCAGCGCTGCAGGAAGCTTGAAGGAGTCACGGAGAGAGAAAGATGGCGGCGGGGTCAGTTGTTGTAGAGTGGAAACATCCTGAGACATCTGTCTACACAGCGAGGGTTTAAACTCCAGGAATGTCATGTGTCTCACAACTGAGCAGCTCGCACGTCACCGAGGGTCAATATCCTTTTTATTACCATCAGCTGATGTTAATGATTTATTCATTAATGATATTCTGTCCTCATAGAAAATTGATTCATCAAGGGAAACAATCAAGAAGTGGACTGATGAGCAGAATCGATAATGGCATCGGTATCAATAAAATCTCATCAGTTCCCATCCCGACAAACACTAGAGCTCAAACTTCCCACCAGGAGGTTGTCCCTGAAGTGGCCGGTGAACAGTGGAGAAAGGAGCAGAACGACAGTGGATTCATGTCATATTAAGGAACGGTAGGAAATCCGGACGCCTGAAATAACCACATCCACCCCAGCTCCCCGAACGCATCACCGTCCGGCAGCTGAGCTGAACGACCTGGATGCCGCACTTCCCTTCCAGCTCTTGAACACATCATCAAGGTTTCCACTAGAAAACGATCATCGTCTGTCGGCGGACCGGAGTCGCTCTGTTCTTACCCGCACAGCTGTGACTGGCGTGCTGCGTTCACTGGACAAACAGTTACTGAGTCCAGGAGCTTTAATGGTTCCACCACAGGCCGAGAGAGGAAGAGCGGGAAACAACAAAAACACAACAACAAGCCATCAGACTGCTCACACACACACACACACACACACACACACACACACACACACACACACACACACGTGTTCTCACATAAACTGTGTGTTAGAAGAAAGGCGGGAACTTTTACTACTGTTATTATATCGCCCTGAAAGTTCAAGTGTGATCTGTGAAAAAAAATGCTGCAGAGTTTTCAGAATAAAATCCTCATTTTACAAGAAAAAAACTAGTTAACGAGTTAACCGAGTTAACTAGTAAAACATTACCTGAATGAAAATGTAGTTTTACAGGAAAAGATTTGGTTTTATTGTTGCACGTTTTGATAAGATTCAGAGTTCGCAGTGACGTTCAGGTAATGTAGGTGTTTTCAAGTGTCGACAGCGTGATCGAACTCAACGTCACTAAATCTTATAAAAAGGTTCAGAACTGACAAACAGCTCCATCGGCTCCACAGTTCACACTTTATAGAAACGACAAATCGACGTATTGATCTGCTGTGTTGTGAGGAAGTCGGTTTGGAGCCGGCTGACAGTCAACTCAAGAGTTCAAATTAAAGGGCCACTGTCCTGAGGAAAGGAAGGTCGACACCTCGATTGAACCAACCCGGTCACGAGTCACCAAACCCCGGTCGCTCCGACAGTCCGTTCAGAAAACAACCGTGAAGTGAAGCGCTCTGACTCGTCACATTGTGCCTGCGATTCTCCGGAGGATTAACAACAACTATTCCTTTGACATGTTTGGCCACGAGGAGGAAGAGGGACATTATGACTTCAGCCCTGAAATAAAAGACTCTTACAGGAGGTCGAGAAAGTGAAGGAAAAAGAGGTGATATGTAAAACAAGTGAAGGAAGCGAAGTGAGGTAACATAGGCGATGAAGAGGGAGGATAAGGTCGAGAGAGGGGAAGTGAGGTAAGCAGAGTTTCGGAGCTGAAAACAACCATCACTCCTGATGCTGGTGTGAATAGAAACATGAAGGAACAAAGGTTTTCCTGCAGGAAGCTGTTTTCTTCAAGAACCAAAACAGCACAATCATTCACCTCCACCCTCTGAACTTCAAACCGACTCCTGATTTACTGCTCGAGGCCTCGGGGAAGCTTCCTCCTCTGAGCGAGGGAGATTCAATCTGACGAAAGGTCAGGAGACCCGTCTGAGTCAGGGTCCATCTTTAAATCTACTCTCACTTCTGCTTTCTGTTTCTCAAGAAGAAAAACAGGGATGTGTTTCGATTCCTGCATTTTCCTCTTCAAAATAAGACTCACCAACAACAGCTAATGTTCTCCGTGGTGGGATTAGAGGATAAAGGTCTGGTCTGAAATAGAAACGAAAGCTAGAACATCTAAAAGCTCCAGATGTAGTTTTTGTGGTTGGATCAGAATCTGCTCCCGATTCTGACCTTACTGAGCGGATCGGGTTCGTGACCGATCCTCATGAAATATAATTTTCTTTATCAATCTGTCTGTGAATGTTCTCATTCGTCCAGGTCATTGTTATCTCTCTCTCAAATTAAATCCAAGGCAACTGGACTTGTATTTGTCTGTGAAGCTGATGAAGCCGCTTGGATAAGAGGCGAAACGTCTTCCACAGACAAATACAAGTCCAGTTGCCTTGGATTTAATTTGAGAGAGAGATTTATCAATCTGATTATAAAGGTTTTTCTATCAGTGACATTAATTCAAAAACAATCCAGCTTTTGATGCTAAGATAGTGTAAACACTTCCTGGACCTGTACAGATGTAATCATAAAAATAACAATAAAAAAATAATAATATAAATTGTGTTTTTGAATGATTTGAAAATAAATGATGAAAAAAATGTTTTCTATCTCAGCTGGATTCAAACCTGAATGTTGGATCAATACATTAAAATAGAAGCTGTTCTGAGACTATTATTATAGGTATTATTTGGCCTCCATATTGTCACACGGTCGAATGTGGGCTGCCAACTTTTTAGAGATTCTGAAGTTGGCTGAACTGGGAAGGGTTGGGAACCACTGATTCTAACCAAGTCTGTCTTCCTGTTGTTTATGTTTTATTCTTTATGCCTTTAGCTGTTTTATGGTTATATTCTGTGCTGTACTTTTAACTCTTACCGTCACCAACTTTTACGTTCACACTTCTATAGAGATTAAACTGATGTTCATCTGAAGCGTTTTACATTGGAGACGTTGTGCAGTTAATTATTCTGCTTTGGCCCCTTTAAAAACACCGTGTAACGTTCACTGGACTCCCCCCCCGAGACCGATCACATTCCCCGACACGACCAAACATTCCACAAATATTCCCAGAATTCCACGATTCCTGAAGGTGTCGGTGTTAACGCCAAACACAACATGTCATTTCCTGTCTCACCTTGGCCAGGCGAGCTCTCTTTATGAGGTCGTTGAGTTTACGCAGAGCCGCGTTCCTCGGAAGACTCTGGATGTCCCTGAACAGGTCCTGAGACTCCGCCTCGAACAGACGCCTGACAGGGGAGGGGGGAGGGGGGGGGAGATGGATGAATGGATGAATGAATACAAAGTGCTAAAGGGTAAAGGAGTGGACACATGAATTTAGCAGTAAATGTTTGAATATACAAAGAAGAAATGAAGGAATGAATGATCTTTTAAATGAATGAATGAGAGAATGAATAAATGAATGAATGAATGAATAAATAAATAAATAAATTTTTAAATAAATGAATGTTTAAATGAATGAATAAATGAATGGATGAATGAATGAATGAATTTTTAAATAAATGAATGAATGTTAAAGGAATGAATGAATGAATTTTTAAATAAATGAATGAATGTTAAAGGAATGAATGAATGAATGAATGTTTAAATGAATGAATGAATGAATTTTTAAATAAATGAATGAATGAATTTTTAAGTGAATGAATGAATGTTAAATGAATAAATTAATGGATGAACGGATGAATGAATGATTGATCTGCTCTCTGACCTGTTCTCCGTGTTCTGCAGTGGCTTGGCCCAGAAGGAGCCCAGATAAACTCTCACCACCTCTGGAGTGTTGATCACCTTCCCCAGCGACCACATGAGGGCGCCGTACACCCTCATCAGCTGCTGGGTGTCCACCTGAGAGCACAGGTGAGGAGGAAGTTAGTCACTGATACAGGTGAGCTGCATTTTCCAGCCACAGTGAAACCTGCTTGTACCTGGTCGGCCTTGTTGAGGACGACTCGGATCTTGTCGTCTTGTCCTTTGAAGGCTTTGATCGCCTCGGAGAACTCGTCAGAAATGTCCAGCTTGTGAGCGTCAAACAGCAGGATGATCCGGTCCACGCGCTCGCCGAACCAACGCAGCACCTCCGCAAAGTCATAACCTGAGGACGGACACAGAGACGGAGACGGAGACGGTTTATTTAGAGCCCGGCTCGTATCCATCTCAAACTAATTAAACAATTTCACAAACATCTCCAGGAGGAACATTTAGCTGCTGCTGATTCATTCACAGAGAAGCTTCAGGTTCCAGAGCGTGAGGTCGATCAATCAACCAGTCAATTGACAGAAATCTGATGTTCCGTTAATTGTTGAGATCATTCTTCATCAATCGACAGACGAATCAAAAATGAGCTGCAGCTAAACGAGGATCCATAAATCAACTGTGACTGCAGATGATTGAATTATTTTCATTATCAATGATTCAGTGAAATGTGAATTTTGTTCAGTTTATAACGATACAACAGAGAAAAAAGTTTAGAAGCTTCAGCAGTTAATATTCAACCATTGACTGATCGATTAAACAGGTAATTACACGTTCCAGTCAGCATCAAGACGTCTGGGTTTTATTAAACGTCAACAGTGTGAAAACCTTTTTCTCTCTCAGTCTGAACAACAAGTAACCCCAAAACTCTCAAAGTAATGGAGCTTTACTGGGATTAGTAACTGGGATTAGTAACTGGGATTAGTAACTGGGATTAGTGCCGTCTCTCTGGGAGCTGTGGAGGTGGAATGTGAAGCTTTAAAAACATCCAGAGAGAGAAACACGTGTGAAGCTGTGAAGAATCACCTTCAACAAAACGACAACAGAAAGCACAGAGGGCACGTCAACTATGTCTTTAAATATGTGTGTGTGTGTGTGTGTGTGTGTGTGGTTTATTTAGAGCCTGGCTCGTATCCATCTCAAACTAATTAAACAATTTCACAAACATCTCCAGGAGGAACATTTAGCTGCTGCTGATTCATTCACAGAGAAGCTTCAGGTTCCAGAGCGTGAGGTCGATCAATCAACCAGTCAATTGACAGAAATCTGATGTTCCGTTAATTGTTGAGATCATTCTTCATCAATCGACAGACGAATCAAAAATGAGCTGCAGCTAAACGAGGATCCATAAATCAACTGTGACTGCAGATGATTGAATTATTTTCATTATCAATGATTCAGTGAAATGTGGAATTTGTTCAGTTTATAACGATACAACAGAGAAAAAAGTTTAGAAGCTTCAGCAGTTAATATTCAACCATTGACTGATACGATTAAACAGGTAATTACACGTTCCAGTCAGCATCAAGACGTCTGGGTTTTATTAAACGTCAACAGTGTGAAACCTTTTTCTCTCTCAGTCTGAACAACAAGTAACCCCAAAACTCTCAAAGTAATGGAGCTTTACTGGATTAGTAACTGGGATTAGTAACTGGATTAGTGCCGTCTCTCTGGGAGCTGTGGAGGTGGAATGTGAAGCTTTAAAAACATCCAGAGAGAGAAACACGTGTGAAGCTGTGAAGAATCACCTTCAACAAAACGACAACAGAAAGCACAGAGGGCACGTAACTATGTCTTTAAATATGTTGTGTGTTGTGTGGTGTGTGTGTGTGTGTTGTGGTGT